ATTCTGTTACCTATATGCCTGCGTAATATTTTTCTGGATACAATATTGAGTTAGCCGATCACTCAAATTGAGCCATTTAAAAACACTAGTCCAACTAAATATTATTTTTCATTATTTCTTAGATTTTCTAACTAAAAATATTCGATCTTAAAATATATTATAAAATGGCCCTGACGCATAAAGAAATTTATTCCTACAATTTTCATTAAATTCCGGAATTTTGCCAATTTTTTTTTTTTCAAGTTTAAATCGCAACCTGAAAGATTTTTTTAAAAATATTTCGAAATTATAATATTAATCGTTAATATTTATTCCTTTTTTATTAGGTTACTTGATAGATTGAAAGTTGGATGAAATTGAAGATATTAAAGTAAAAAAAATTATTTATTTTATTAAAACCATTTAGGAAAATATAAGTTTGGTAGGGTTTTAAAAAATAAATTTCTGAGGAAAAATTATTTTTTTTTATTTTCGATTCAAATTTTAGTTAAAATTTTCCAATAATTTTTTTGTAAAAAAAATTTTTTATATAAGTAAATATTTTATAATTTTTTTATGCATATAAAAATTGTTATAAAGATGAAATCTCGAATTTTTTTCAGGCACCAGGATCTAACTATTTTGTGATTTAATTTGTTAAATATAAGAAACATGTAAAGATAAATTGTAAAATCTAGCCATCAAGATCTTCAAATCTAGTAAACGGCTCTATATAAGTCGATTAAAAACGGGTAACTAAATATTTTAGCCAGAAAAATATTGTCTAACAAGGAGATTTTTTTTGTAGATGTTAACCATTCTGTCATCTGTTAGCAGACTTGCGTAATATTTTTCTGGATAAAATATTAAATTAGCCGTTTTAAAAAATCGGCTCAAACCTACTAACTTTTTAAATCTAAAATATTAATTATATTATATAATATTGAAATCGAAATCGAATTTTAATAAAAAATATTACTTGATAAAAGAACTGTAGGATAGTGAAAGTGATTGATATCCCATTTAAAATTTTTATTGTAAATATACTTTTATTTTATATTTAATAGAATAAATGCAAAAGAGAAGAAATAACATATCCATCATGATTTAATATTGTTTAAATTTATAACCATACAACTTTATTTCAACAAGGAGTATACCTATATACGCTTTCGTGGATGTTTGCAATCCATCTAGTTAATTAATTTTCTATAGTAAAATTTAATATATAGACTCTATAGCATCAACATTCGAAAAAATTCTCATTACTTATCAGGATGAAAATATCTCCGAAAATTTAAAAATAATAACCTTTTCTAATAAAACAATTGTAGTAAGTGTATATCTAATAAATGTACCATAAAGCATATATTTAAAAATGAGATTTATCACATTTTTGTGACAACCTTTAAATAGTTACATATTCCGAGAGTAGTTATAAACATAGTGCCTAACCAAACATCTAGAACCGAACCTATATAATCAATATTTTTTTAATGAACCGCAACTGTATCTTTTAAAAAAAAATACATAAAGAAACCAAATCTTTATAAACCTCTAACAGGTTCATGCGGGGTTTTATTTTATAAATATTAAATAAATTAATATAAAAAATGACATATTATCTTTTTTAAATTGTTAAAAATATTTATCTCCTATGCATTGTTTATATTGTTTTATTAATTATATAATATTTTTAAAGGGTTCGATTTTTACCGATTTTTAAAAATGGTTAACTGAATATTTTAGCCAGAAATGTATTGCTTAGGCCTCGAATCTCGCTTAGAGATGTCCAATCCTTTGTGCCAACTATGACCAAAATTTTCAAGCTGCGTAATATTTTTCTGGAGCTAGCCGTATTTAAAAATCGACTCAAATCGAGCAGCTGTTTAGCAAATTTTATGTAATCTACTTACTATTTTAATGCTAATAATTTATAACTAAAAAGGGAAAGAAATTTTAAAAAAAGAAACTAATAAGGTGATTTCTATTTTTCTTTCTTAAACATCTGACAATTTATGGATTACCTTCATATTAAGGAAGATAAATCTAAAGAATGACACATTATGTGCATATCTATATCTTAATACGCAATACTCTATGGCAACTTGGCCATTAATTGGTGACTGTATGTACGTATGCAGGAATTCGTTTGGGGTTGGGGGGGGGGGGTGGAATAATTAATTTTTTTTAGCATTATTCAAGGAGTTATTGAAGAATATATTAAGTTACAAAAATTTATTAGGACTAACGTTGTTAAACCGCCATATTAAGATTTTAGCCAAAATTTTTTTTCCTCGAGATTTGGCAAATAGAGATCCAAACCTTTTTGTTATATATTATCAAAATCTCCAGGCTTATATAATATTAGTTTGGTCAAAATCTTATTCGGGCCGTATTTAAAATTCGACCCTAATCAGGCCGTTTAACAAAATTAGTAGTGACCATAAAATATTGACAATTTCTATCAAACAAATTTAAATATAAATTAATGATATAATTATTACATTTTTATAATCTTTGCAAAAAAATATAAAATTTTTATTTAAATTATATTTTAAAAAAATATGGTTTAATAATGAAGTCTCATAAAAATCTGCACAATTTTTATTAAAAAATTAATTTCATTTAAATAAAATAATAAAAAATTATAATACTTTTTTAGGGCATTTTCCTGAAAATAGTCTTAAACCTTTTATAAAATAATCTAGTTAATATTGATTTCCTATATCGGATTAAATACAGCTCTATGTATATATCTTTCTTTAAAAATCTTCATTCTTTTTAAATAATTTATGATACATCTTAACACTTAATTAAATATATAAATTTCAATACATTAATACATGTAAACCCGACATAACTAAAATAAGTATTTAAAGCAATCGATGTCAAAAATAATTTTCTTCATCTTCATTTGAAGAATGATTTTCCTTTGATTATTATAATTTACTTTGTTAATTTTTTCTAATTTCTAACCATTTCGTAATTAATTCAATGAATGTATGAAAGATTAGTCACACCTAGCTAATACCTTCCCCAAACCTCAGGATCATTTAAAAATTAATTTAGGATATAAAATTATCATAATTACTGTCAATATTTTTATATATGGGTAAATAGAGATTTTTTTATAACAGTAGAATTATTATTAAGACTGAGTAACTTTTATAAAAAATGTTATTAGTGAAAATGTAAAATTTTTAATAGTTATTTTTGGTATATTAAAATTAAAATTTATGTTTAAAATTTCCTCACAATCAATTTTGTGTGAAACATTTTTGGAACCTACTTAATAACCTTATTAAAATATTAGCTATTGCATTTATTTATATTTTTGTTTATAATAACAGATAATGAATATATGAACGTATAAATAAAGTCTACATTAAAATGGGACATAAGGAATATGTACGAAATATTAAAAAAGAAAACAATCCAGAGATAGTTTAAAGCCAGGAAAAAAAAATGAAAGGGTCTAGGATAGCTCTTTGGCTAGTAGACTACCATTGAAGCTAATGTAATTGACTTTTAGGATTGCTATGGCAAGCCTTTGTCTAAGAAAAAACCCCTCTCGAGGTTCTTCCGAGAAATATAAATTTCAAATCTCAAAGTTATTATTTTTAAGATTATTTGAGAAGAAATTACTTGCCCCGGGATAACACTATCTCCGGCCTACCTTGTATATAAAATAAAAATTACTAACTATTTTTTCATAAACGTGTCTTAAATTCAATTTTTAAAAAAATTATATAAATGTACACTAATCAATACGCTTAATTTAGAATATAAATTATTTCGATTACTCAAGACAAAATGGCGATTAATATGATAATCAATACAATTTTCATTGTAAGATTATTCTACAAAAATAATAACTCTCACTTTCCTTTTTACAATAAAATAATTAATTAAATATAAATAAAATGCCAATAAATAAAATGACAGGTTTATCTTATAAATGAATATAAATTTGAAGAACACAAAACCCCTCAATTTAAAATATTTGAACCCAACCCGAACGTTTATATGAAATATTTTTATAAAAATATTTTTCCATAAATCCTGAACCGAATTTCATCAAAAGTATCTACATTCTCGTTATAAATAATCTTTATCAATTATAAAAAAATTTTTATATAATGACATTACCTCCAAAATAAATATATATAATAAACCATCTTTACAATATTTTTAAAAAATTATGTTTCTTTCCGGTATATAAATATTTTTATTTTTAATTTCATAAAAATAAAAAGATGCTTGATAATGCGCTTATTTTAGGAAAATCTGAGAATACATTTTGTAAATTATCCTATGCTGCCTTTAGTAAATCAAACTTTGTATTATCAAGGAATAGTTATTCTTTATCATTTCATATAATAGATGCAATAATTCAATAGATGAAATATATGATACTGATAATTCGGTGGTGGGAATCGTTATTTTATACAAATTATTTTGCTTCATACAATGATTAATTATTTGTTCTATATTGTATTTTAAAAACAATATAAAAAAAATAGAGGGATTATAAATTGAGTACTTTAATTATCTTGCAAGACATGAAATAGAGATAATCTATTTTTAAAATTACAACAATAATTAAATTTATATGGCTCGTTCACATTCTAGAAATACAACTACAGGCAACAATACAGTTTTTTTCCATATGATTCTTTTATTAGCTGGAATTATCCGCTTACTTTTCTATGACCTCCTACATAGCTAAAGAACCTAATCAAATCCTGATTTTTATTCATGTTACTTTTCCAATTCCAACTTCATAGGATGTAACTTTGCGATCCATGTCAATACCTTTAGATTCTCGGCTCATTTCCGATACCCAAATTTCAATTCATTTACGTATGTCTTAATCTCACCAACGAGTCATAATTTATTCATTCTATTTGTTAAAAAGTAGGCGGCACTGCCAAGGGAGGATGAGGGTATGGCGCGATATGCCATTGAAATAGGAAGGGGTAGGGAGTTGTAAAAATGAAAAAATGTAGTGGATTTACTAATTTTGATTTGGTGGTTATAAGAGTTTAATATCATGGCTGGTTTATAGGAGAGGGGAGGGGGAATGCCTGTGTGAAGGGTAGAGGAAATGTGCCCTGAATGGCTATGTTTTTGCTTTTTTGAAAAAAAGGTATTAAAATTTATGTTTAACCAAACAAATTTTATATCAATGTGTAGCCTAAATATTAATCTTTATAATAAAATTTGAATCAAAGCTTTATGTATTATACTTTATGAGCTAAATGAGATTATGTGAATGTTGTTTTTCTAGCCAGTCAATACATCTGGCCATATACTATGTGTTAACTGGTCATAATATATTATTTAAGAATTTTATTATAAACGAAATAATACAATATGAAATACTTTAAAAGACCTATGTTAATGTTTCTACATTTTTTAGTTATGTAAAATATTAATTATACACTAATTTAATTAGTATTAAAATCTCAATTTATAACCACATCTATTTAACGATAATATTATAAATTAATATCTTAATTATCATTTTACTAAACATTCTTAAGCTTGTTCATCATTTTATTTCATCAAATGTTGTTTTGCAAGAGCTTTTCCTTTAAATATGAATATGTGAATGTGCGAATTTTGGTTAATCAATACATGGCCAGTCAATACTCACCTCTCTATTATTATTAAGTGCCTTTATATGTCTACTAAAAAAACTTTTAAAGTCTAATTTTTTGTGTGAATAATGCTAAATACCTAAGAATAATATTTATATAAAATAACAGTAATCTAAGTAAGTAATTTTTTCACTAAACAAATAAAAGTGTAACCTGATTTTTCCAGAAAAAGGCACTAAAAACAGTTTATTTGAAATATTTTTTTTATTGAATTGCTCTATTCAATAAATGAACTTAGGTAAGGTACACATCATAAATATACACATTTACCAATTTTGAGAGAATTTGGTCCAATAGATAAAAAGTTAAAGAGTTGTGGCCAGTCTTCACACATTGCCATTTATGGCATATTTCCCCTAATGTCATAAGAAATGAGGTAAAATAAAATCTAATAAATATTAGGTTAAGAGTTTAGAGTGAATAAATGGGAAAGAGTGAAAAGTATGGTGGAGTTTTTAATCTCGCATGACATTTTTTCCTAATCTTCTAATTCTAATTCCCATAAAAGAAGGGATGCTTTATAAAAATTAAATATTTTTGTGATAAAAATAATAGTTTATAGGTTAAACAAATATAGCTCAAGTATGTGGAACCTTATTTTATTACAAAATAAACATATTTAAAATTATTTTTGGAGGTTTTTTGATCGCAATGGAGTGCAGAGAATTCCTAAGAAAAATATTTTGATCTTAACTCAATTCTTCCAAAAGTGGACATAGAACGCTATAATAAAACAGTGATATTAAGTTAAATGTATAATATTATGTGATGATCATAACGGCTCAGTAATTGTATTTATTAATTTTATAGATACATATTAAATTTCTCGTTAAATTTAAAAAAAAAATATTTTAGAATTATCTATATCGTTTTTTAAAGCATTATCGCGCTAGTATGTACCCTCATATGTCTATTAAGATTTCCTGACTGAGAAAAACGTAGGAGACATAGCTTGCATTGATAAGGTTTTTCCCCACTATGTATTCTTAAATGTTTAGTCAGGGTGGAGCTATCTGAGAAAGACTTTGTACACATCGCGCATCTGTAAGGTTTTTCTCCTGAGTGGGTTCTCATATGGGTAGTTACAGAAGAACTCTGCGAGAAAGTTCGTCTACAAATTATACATTGAAATGGCTTTTCACCGCTGTGAATGCGGGCGTGAGCTACTAAATTAGCTGCTTGGCAAAATGCTTTATTACAATAGTGACACTTGAAGGGTCTATCTCCTGAATGAGTTCTCAAATGAGTCCTTAACGTGCTAAGTCTGGCATAAGTGCGCCCACAGTACCCACAGGTATTTTCTGGTTGGGAATTTTCTTCTTTTTTTTTTTGCATTTATAAAAGAATTCGATAAAAGCATGATAATCAAATTAATTATTTTTTAGACAGTTTTAAATCTAAATGTAATTATCTGAACGCGGGTAGATTTAAGAATTAGACTAGAGCCTCTTTTAATAATCATGGCAAGGGGAACCATTGTGAAAAATATTCTAATGAGTAATTTATATATATATGTAGTAATTTTTAAAGGGATCAGAACTATCCGGGATCATCACGGATTTTAAAGGGATAACGGTTTTAAGTTAAGGAATGATAATACGGTATTATCACGTTTTAGCGTGATAAAGAGGAATTTTATTTTAAAAAGCGTTTCATCCACGTTTCGTATTATTTCTTTATTTTATTGTTATTTATTAATTTTCAATGTTGTTTTTTTTCGCCTTATGAAGTAAGATATGTCTAATAGAGGGTATCGATCAATAGCTAATTAAAAGATATATTCAACTGGAGGTCAATCTCTCTCTCTTAATGGGCGAGTATAGGTCTGGGGGGTCAGGAATATTTTTATCAAAATATCGATATGGGTATCAAATAATAGCGAATTTAAATATCTTTTGACTGAATGTCTTCATTCTTGGTCTTGATGGGTATGACTTGGTCTGGAGGGTGGATAGAGGGGGGGGGGTGTAAAAAATAATTATTTTGATATGGGTATCAAATAAAAGGTAATTAAAATATTTTTTTATTATATAATAATAATCATTCATAGAGGCGGGTCTAGGTCTTGGGGGGGGGGGGGGTCATAATATTTTTATCAACCTATATGTGTGTCAAATAAAAGCTAATTTAAATATCTTTAGATTGAGAGTATATAATTTTTTCTTGATGGATATGACTTGGTCTGGAGGGTGAATAGGGGGGGGGGGGTGTTAAAAGGTAATTTAAATATTTTTTATTGTAATTCTAATAATCCCTCATACCGGGCGGGTTTACGTCAACGAATGTTCATAAATCAATAAAATTTACCAATTTTACCATTCCTAATAAGACCATCTCCATAATAATAGCATCAAGAAGTGCATCTTCTTATGGTAATTGTAAATCAATTTGCAATGTTTTTGGCAGACAATATAATTACAATTACTAAATTATAAATTAATCGTTTGGTAATATACTTTTTTATAATTAAATAAGTTTGAACTGTAATACCAAATAATATGTAAATTAATAAAATATAATCATTTTTTAAATTCTTATTTTTAAAATTATCAAAAATGAGAAGAAAAAAAATTGAGAAATGCTCATAAAAATAAAAGTTAAAAATGACTTAAAGAGATTGAAAAGGTTAAAAATGTATGTAAAAGATAACAATAAAAAAATCATAAAAAGAATATTATAGTATGATGAAAAAAAAAACGTAAAGAATTGTTAAAAAAATGGACCTAAATTTATAAATTATTTTAAAAAATACAAAAGAATTATCAAAAATGAGAAGAAAAATAAATTGAGAGAAAATATAGTAAGAAAAATAAAAGTAAGAAAATCCAAAAAGTTAGAAATAAATTGAAAAAAGATACAGTAAGAAAAAAAACGTAAAGAAATCATAAATTAGAAATGAATTAAGAAGGAATAACAAAAATAAATAAAAATTTATGAAATTTTTTTTTCTTTGATAATACTTTATTAAAAAGCAAAATTTCACAAATTTTTCATTTACAAATATAGGGTAAATTATTTTAAAAAAAACAAACATTTAAAATAAAATAAAATAACAATATGTTTTTTTATTTTTGCACAACCCTCAAAAAATAAATGACAATCAAATATATAATATATAACAAAACAGATTTAAAAAATACATTAAAAATTGGATATTTTAATTTTCGTTTTTTCTTTATATATATATTCTCCTTTTTCTAAATTCCTTTAAAATATATTTCAATATAAATTATATTTTTATAAATTTACCTTAATTCATTGGTTGTGCTCGATAACCAATCTCCAAAAATTGATGCATTTTATTATAATAATTTGAAAAATCAAAAGGAATAGTAAATTCATTAAGAATTGATGTTACATTATTAATTATTTCGTTTCGAGTATTTGGTCGGGGATTGATCGACCTATATTTGTTTTTTAACACTCCAAAAAAATTTTCTATCGGGTTTAGTTGCGGCGAATAGGCAAATATTCTATTCGCGCTCTAAAACAATCAATGAGGTGGCTTTTATGGATGGATGCATTGTCCATAACAATAACTGCATCACTCGGTAGAATATTAATTAGTGCATTCATATAATCTCTAAATAAATTATTTGTAATATTAGGTATTGAATTTGAATTAGATAAAACAGGATCAAGATTTAATGTAAATGAATTTGTATTACTAGATAAAATTTGTCGTATATTGAAAAAAATATTAAACTCTATTTTATAAAAAAAATTAAGTTATATAAAAATTGTAAATGCAAAAAAATTACCGTATGTATTTTATAAAAAAAATTAAATTATATAAAAATTGTAAATGCAAAAAAATTACCGTATGTATTTTTTAAATCTGTTTTGTTACATATTATATATTTGATTGTCATTTATTTTTTGAGGGTTGTGCAAAAATAAAAAAACATATTGTTATTTTATTTTAATTGTTTGTTTTTTTTTTAAATAATTTACCCTATATATAATTAAAAATATATATTAAAATAAATAATATATTAAAAATGAATTAAAAAATATATATGTATAAAAGAGAAATGAGATAAAAAAAATAAAATAAGGGTACAAATTACCCTAGAGAAGAGTGAATGCTTAAAAAAGTGGACCGGCTGATTTCCAAGGAAATCTGCTAACGAATGTAAAATCATTCATTGGGGTCCCCTGAGATCTGCCTCATTTTTTTCCTATAGTTTTGATGAAATTGAGAGCATCACTTCCGAACATGCCAGGGTATTGGTAACGATTGGGATAAACACGGTGTTGGTGAGGCAAGCATATTTGTTTTTTTTAGAATTTCGGCCTTTTCGATGGCAGAAAATGAGAGGTTGGACTTGGCTGCAAAATCGACACAGGTATAGTCCCATGCTAGTGGTGAATGCTGGAAGCGGGACGACAAAGGGTGGGTGAGCAATTGCTGTCCCAAAAGGTCTGAAGGAGTGGATCCATTATCGATGATAGATTGTGCAGCAAGACGGAGATAAAGGCTGAGAGAGGGAAAGTTGTATCGGGGATCGGATACCAATACCACCAAACTTGCTGGGAAGGGTGGCCTGAAGCCAAGATTAATTGAAAAATTTAAGGTTTAATATGCTTCCAAGAAGAGAAGACCCTTAATTTGGGTTTCATCAGAAACGAGCAAGTCGCGGCATTTAAAGATCGGAGAGGATCTCAGGGCGTAAAGAATTTTAGGTATGTTGAAATAATTTTTATTAAAAAAAAGATTGATGGGCTGGGAGGTAATTAAATAATGTATTTAATTTGGATAAATTGTTAAGGGATTTGTTTAAAAATGTTTCGATGGCCTTTTCACCTCCTATGGGTGATCCGAGGTGTGTCATCTCGTCTCTGTTGATGATATGATAAGTGGGATTTAGGAAGCAAATCTCTCATTTGGGTAGTCCTGGTATATGAGAGAGATTCTCAAATGAGGAGGGTGAACATGATTGAGGAGAGGTTGCCCGAGACAATGCCGTCATCAAGATACCAGGAATTTAAGGTAAGGTTAGATTTAGATTGAATTTCCTGGATTATCTTGTGGATCCCGATGCAAAAGAGGGCTGGGCCTAAGGTGTCACCCTGAATTCCCTCTTGAAATTCGATTATGTTATTATTGAATTTTAAAAAAGTATGGCTCGAATAGCTGTGGAGGATGTAAGTAGAGTATTCGGGATATTGGTTGCAAAATAGAGGAACGAAGTGTTGGCGTTTTATTGTATTAAATGCATTGTTGAAATCTAGTTTTATGTCCACGTCATCAGGTATACAGTTAGCTATAGTTTAACGAGCAAGGTGAGCGGAAATTTCAGAGCCTCCAGGAACACCGAACCCAAGTTGAAGTGGCGACAAGAATGAAGAAATGGATTCCTTTATTCGTGAAGCAATAATCTTAGAGACAGTCCTTCGGAAGAACGACTCGACAGCAATTAAACGGATACCTCCATCATTTTTTTGAGGGCTATAAGGCGTGCACCAAAGAGAATAGGAATGATAGGTGATGGAAGGGATCCATTAAGAATTATATTTAGTAACCTGGTAAGGTTCTGTAAAAGGGCTATACATGAAATGTTGGGTTTTAAAATGTCTTTGTATGAAGATAGCATGAATGCCATCAAGACTTCCGGAAGAGTCTCTTTTAAAAGATCTAACAGCTTTGAATATCTCATCGGTATGGATTCCGGGAGCTATATGATCGATTTAGCTTGAGAAGGCAAATTCTGAATCACTTATGGGGTGTTTTAGAAACAAAGCTTCTAAGATGGACTCATTGTTAGGAGCTAAGGAGTCTTCAAAGGTCATAGCCCGGAGGGCTGAATTTATATTAAGGCAGTTTATTTTGTTTGAGACTATTTTAGCCCTACGGGCAATGGGGAGTGGATTGGATTGGTTAGTTCGGGGTGTAGGGGTTTTTATGGAATCCGGATTGAATAGGGATATTGATGATTTTATATGTTTGGATAATAAAATATATTTATTATCGGAGGGTTTAAGGGTAAAATTGGTAAAACTTAGTAAGTTTTTCCAATTGGATAGGTTTCCCGGATTGTTGACTGTTAATAGGATTAACTTGTTGAAGGAATCTCAAAAAAGAATTACGAGCACCCCGTGGTATGCGCGATATGGTGGGAAAGTTGGGTAGAGATAAAAATTCATTGGCCCATGATTGTATGTTGGGAGTTTGTTGACTCAGAGACAAATCAGTAGCAACAATAGGAGAGGGAGGTGTGGCTAGATTTAATAGACTGAAGGGAGGAGGATCTGTGGGCGTTATACTTGGTAGCCCTGAACCGCGACATCTGGAGGATGGGGGGCCATGGATTTGAAACTTTCTAGCTTTGGTT